GAGGGAACAGCCCTCACGTCAGTCAGGTCTTTGTTTCCTTGCTCTAGTGGTACTGGCTTCACAAAGTAACCCAATTCCCATAAACAAACATTACAGGTCTATCAAAACTACTTTTATGAAATAAGATTTTGTTTAAGATACTTTTATACAGCAGTCATTTTTATAGCTGTTGGTCTGCTCTGCTGCTGCATCTGCCCCAATTCAGAAGGGAACCAATATTAAAAATTTCATTTTAATACTGGGCAAAAAAACTTGCATTTCTTTTATGTGGATAATTCTCAACTTCAAATCTATCCCACGCCTAAACTGATGGCATGCGCTTTTGTTCTAAAAGAAAGAAAAGAAAGAAAAAAGCTTTCTCCTACAGAGGAGCCACCTAACTCCAAATCTCCTGAGATTTAACGAGCCTCTAGGAAGATGTTAAAATGTCTTGAAACGTTTTTACAGCACCTTTATTTGCGAGGCCGTCTATTAATTACCCAGCAGTACCCCCGCGGCAAATGCACATTAGCATAAAAGAGGGCAGCTGGGGGAAGCACTGGGAGGGCGTGCAGACTTTGCAAACTGATGGGATTGACGGGACAACTTTTCGGCACTGGATATGAGGTCGGTCAAATGCCAAAACAACATATGGACCCGAGGCGACTCTAACGTGGGTCTCGGGCGGGCCCCAGGCGCCCAGGGCGCCGGAGCCGTGGATGCATTGTCCTACCCCCGGCTGCCGCCGCGTCCTCCACCCACGCTCCGGCGATCAGGGAGCGCCACACGCCCCCGCGGCGCCGACCCAGGGAGCTGGCGCCTACCGCGGACGCCCTCCTCCGCCAGAGGTTTGGGCAGGGGGTGGCGGAAAGGGAGCGGCGGTCCACACTCGCACAGGTTGCCCAGCGCGGGCTTAGGACACAGAGGGTTAATAATCTCCCGGGCATCTGCCCACCTCAGCCTTCACCTCAAACTCGGCTCCACCGCAGCCCCTCGGCCCGCGGTCGGTCCCGAGGAGCCCCTCCGACACCCCGCCACAGCCTGGCGCCGAAGGCTTTTGATTTGGCCGCGACGAGAATAACGATCCCTGAGGAGGAGGAGGTGCCGGAGCTGCTGGTGGCTCCTCAGCACAGGGTTAGGCAGAGGAGCGGGCGGCCGCGGCGGCACCTCCTCATTCCCCACACTCTCCGCGCCCTTTTCCAACTAAACGGGACTGGGGAACCGCTCGCCTCGTCGCTCACCTCACATCTCGGGACCGGGCTCCTGGGGGGTGCTGCAGCGCCGGCCGGGGGCGGCCGCGGGTCCCTCAGGTAAACGGAGCCAGCGAGGACCGCCGGCGCGCGCGCCGCTCCGGAGCAACCTCGAGCTTTCGGGAGCGACGGAGCGCGCGGCCCGGGGAGCGAGCGAGCGCGCGCGCACGCACGGCGCAGGCGCGCTACGCACACTCGGCCTCACGCTCCCATTTTGAGCTCCACTTCGAGGTGCCGGTTCGGAGATCCCGGTTATTCTGTGTCTTGCGTTTTGAGTAACGCCTTGTACTCACTATCCCGCTCCGGCGGAGTGGTTTCGAGCTCTGGAAATGTTTCTCTGAAATGCGCTCAGCTCTCTTGGCAAAGTCTTCCCTCCCCTGCTGAAAAAGCGCGGCGACTCTTCTTACCCAAGCTGGGGATGCTATTATCGCAAGACCACCAAAACCTGTTTTACGAACGAGGGTGCTGACCTAGGAACTCGGTGTTGAAGGTGGTCAAGAGTAGGATTACAGGTGTTGAGGGTGGCACTGGGTGCAGATAGGAGTAGGCATCTGGCCTGTTGTAAAGCTTCACGGCTAAACAACAGGGACAGGATAACCGCCTAGGAGCAGTTTAAATCCGCTTTGCCAGCAACTTAGTGCACAGATGGAGCATATGGTTATTGGTAGCGTTTCCCATCTTTTTCTCCTTAAGAAATGTTTCCCCTCTCTTTTTCTACATAAGCCATTTCAGAGCTGGAAGAGTTCTTAAAGATCATCTAAACTCAACCTCTCGTTTTTCATCCAAGGAAAAGAACACTCAAGAGGGTTAAATGACTTACCCAAGGTCACGCAGCTTTTTAAAAAGAGTCTGGATTCATTCAAAGCCAGGCAGTTCTTTTTTACTATACTGTTTTATCTTTCTTTCTCTTATTTTTCATCCCTTTTCAAGCTAGACTTAACAGCCATCATTTTGTTCTGTTGCTAGCACATGGGACTTAAAGTATATTGATCCGGTTGCACGACAATGTGAATGTTCTTGCCACTACTAAACTGTACATTTAAACAGTGGCTAAAACGGTAAATTTTGTGTTAAATGTATTTTACCACAATTTTTAAAAGGCACTCAAGTGTTAAATAATGAGTATTGAGTTTAGCCATTAATATAGTTTAACATCAGAAGGTGAGCTATGGAAAAACGCATAAAATGAGACCTGAAGTGACATTTCCAATGTTCGTAGTAAATACTTGTGCAGTAACAGTTTTGGGTTTTCTGTTTTTTAAGGTAGTACTGATCCTCAGGCTGATTCTAAGCAAGTTAGTGTGTCCTATTGAGCCAACACTGGCTCTACTGAGGAGGAATGAGGAGGCAAATAGTGTATGTGAAGATCTGTATCCTATGTACTTCCAGATCCCTTATACCTATAGAACCTCTGAAGATGTGCGGCTAGATATACTATTAGGCAATTTACACACCATCCTTTGAAAACTATCAGGCATATCTTACATGGGAGATGAGAGTAGTGTAGAAATTATCGCTGCATGTGTCAACATGATTAAATTTCGGAAATATAACATTTAAAAATGAACTACAAGATATGTAAATTATGGTATCTCTTTTAAAAAAAACCAGCCCAGCCATAGTGGGGCGCCAGGGTGGCTCAGTCGGTTGAGTGTCTGACTTCGGCTCAGGCTCAGGTCATGATCTTAGGGTTCGGTGGGTTCGAGCCCTGTGTTGGGCTCTGTGCTGACAGCTAGCTTGGAGCGTGGAGCCTGCTTCGGATTCTTTGCCTCCCTCTCTCTCTGACCTTCCCCTGCTCACGCTGCCTCCCTCTCTCCCCTCGCCCCCCCCCCTTTCAGGAATGGAATAAAACATTAAAAAAAAAAAAGCACAGCCATATTGTTTGAGATCAAACATATACATATAAAAAGCATAATAATTGGAAAAGCAGGCTACACACCAGTTTCATAGATAGTGGGTGCCTCTAGACAAGCAAGGAGGGAAATGAGGTCTGAGAAATGTACAAAAGGGGCTTCAACAGTTAATCACTCACACACATGAAGCAAAAATGTTAATATTTTTCTTTAATTTTGATGGGAAAACAAGGGTGTTTCTATGTAGTCTCTAAATTTTTCTTTACGTTTGAAGTAATGTTGAAGTATTTCAGACATTGAGCTGATGTGCTCACTGTGAACATAGCCTGAATGGTGTCATTCAGAACAGGGGTAAAGACCATTTTCAGTTAGAAGTTGAGGTGCTGGACAAGAGGAGGCCCAGAAGGTGCTGGTTGAGAGGATAGGCAAAAGAGAGCTTATTTTCATGTATAAGATTATTCAAATTCTACAGGGATAACATGAGATGGTTTCTTTTATCCTATCTCTCTTTCATTCCATGTTATAACCACCAATAGAAAGTCTTTAATGAGTGAGAACTTCACAGAGAGACATAGCACTCAAACAGCATGCTGTTAAAACTGGTCTCTTTCTGGATGAACCCGTTTTGAAACCTTAAATGTTAACTGGTAATGCTGCACGTGGTAATTTAGTATTGCATCTACTACCTCCCCCAGATCCCCACCCCCCCACCAAAGGCTTTGTTTATTCATTTATATACAACCTGATCATGTGGAAAAACCACAAGGCTGGAATTCAAACAAACCTGGGTTCTAATTTCAGTTTGGCCAATTACAGATCCTTTAAGTCAAGAAAAACAACAATCTCTATGAGCTTCACTCTTCTAAGTTGGAGATACACAAATTTTGCCAATTTCAAAACTACAAAACACAATACATAGGTTTACATTTAAGTTGGAGGAGAGTATGTTCTTATCTATTTTAGGAAGCATAAGGTAGTGAAGTTTTGGGGGGGTTGTTTTGTGTTTGGGGTTTTTTGGGTTTTTTGTTTTGTTTTGTTTTGTTTTTTGGTGGTGGTTTTTACCTGCTGCCCATAGGAACTGCTTTATATTTATCAAGGAGCTCCTTCTGAAATTTTGAATTTTTGGTTGTTTTCCAGCACTTGTTTATAGTTCTATCACAACAGTTATCAGTGTGGGCCTTATATTAGATGTTTATACATTGCATTTTCCAGTCTTCCTCATTAGATTTTTTTTTTTAATCCCTGTGTTCTCACTCTGCCCTTTATTACGTGGTAGGTACTCAATAAATTTAAATTAGACCCAATTGTAAAATTTTCTAAATATGGAGTTATTCTTATTAAGCCATGCCATCTGCTGGTTCCCTGGTGTATCTGTCAGTCAGCCTAAATTTCTCTTGAAATTCACGATGAAGCATTTGTGAGTTTGTGTGTTGGGCAATTTTCCCACATCCTCCCCCTTCCTTTATGCAGGTGCTTTTCTTTAATAGAACCAGTTGCGAATTCTTTTTCCTCCTACCCTCCTCTACCTGTTGGCCACTCTTAAAACCTGGAAAAGTGGAGTTTTACATTTCGGAGCCTCATAATGACCAGAGAAATCTAATTGGGCATGCTCAGTAGGTTGCCCTGAACACAAATATGTCTTGGGCGCTTGTCAGTTCTGTTTGTTTCAGGATCGTATGCATTTTCCTCCCAGCATTATATTGGGAGATTGCAGCCCCTCCCAACCTCTTGGCGCTCTTGCTTTTTAATTTTACCCCTGTGCCCAATTTTTGGAGCCAGCCTTCCTGAATCTCTTGGCCAATCAAGAGACCACACATTGTTGCCTAAGAGACCCCGGATGCCAGCGAAAGGATTTATAGATGGTGATTGGACGACTGACTGGAAAGAAGGGTGGGGGCTGGACAGAGTCAAAGAAAAAGCTGCCATGGCAACACCAGCGCTTAAGGCTTGAAGAAGGAGATGAGCTCAAAGAGGTGAGAGCAGTGGGCAGTGCATGAAAAAGATGGAGCCTCTTTTGAGAGCTCCACTCTAATATCCTCCTGGGCCTCACACAAGCCTTGTTAGTGTTCCTGGGGATTACATTTTGCTCTGTTTCAGCTGAAGTTTTAGTGCCAGATGATTCCTACTTGAGAAATTAACAACAATTAATTATTTCTATGCCTATCAAACACTAGCTCTTTGTACTGTAGTATAGTTTTTGCTTTGTCTCTAACTAGTTGAATGAAAGATGAATTCGTATTTAAATCTAGTGATACCATGTTGCCTGATAATTTCCTGATACTATCTGAGGTTTTCTTCTCTGATGATAACTGCAGTGCACAATGAGTTGTGTGTTGGCAGAGAAACTCAATCCTATTCTGCTCTGTGTATTCCAAATAAAACTCTGATAATCCTGAGTATAATTGCAGTGCTCAACTCATAATGTTCTGAGTTTTATCCTACATCCCTATTAGTTTTCATCTTTAAACTGCTTCCCAACTATTGTATTCATTTATTCAGTTGATTTAACAAATATTTGAGTACCAATTATGTGCTACTGGGATTTGGATTCAAGTGAGCAATGTAAGAAAAGGATATGAGCCAAGAAGCCTCAGAATATTGTACTAGTTGTTTTGTATCAAAGTTCAGTGTGTCTAGGCAGGTAGTGCATGGGGTGGGGGGAGATGAGCCTGAAAAGGTAAATTGAGGTAAATTCTTAGTGGACCTAGACTTCCATGCTAAGGAATCTGGTTATGCTGTAGCCCTCAGAGAGCCTTTGAAGGTTTTTGAGCTGAAAAGTGACACAATCAAAATTGTGTCAAAAAATCAAAACTGGTCTTTTAAAAAATACTTCCCTTAGTAGAATGATGGTTAGCAGAGTCTGGGGAGTGGAGGAAATGGGGAGCCATTGATCAAAGGGTATAAACTTTCAGTTATAAGCTGAGTAAGTTCTGGAGATCTAATGTCCAGCATGGTGACTATAATTAAAGATAATATATTTTATACTTGAAATCTACTAAGAGAGTAGATCTCTGTCTCTGTCTCTCTCCCTCTCTCTCTCTCTCTGTCTCACACACACACACACACACACACACGGTAACTATTGGAGATGATGGATGTCTTAAATACTTTGTAATCATTTCACAATACATACATATACCAAAACATCAAGTTGTACACCTTAATTACACACAATTTTGTAAAAAATAAACAACAACAACAAAAAACCCTTTCTAAAGTAGACTGCATAGTCTATAAAAGCAGAGACTCTTATCTTTGTACCCCTAACTCAGGGCTAATAGGTCCTTAGTAAAATTGAATATTGGTGACAGTGTGAAGAATGGCTCAGAAAATGGGAGAGATTTGTGACCGCCGAAACTTACCAGAGGGCTGTTGAACGCGGAACTAGAACTATACCATATATTGGAGGTTAGGGCCAAAGACCCTCTTTCTTCCTTTTTATTCAAACAAAACTTAAAGGTCAACATTCCAGGACAGCAGTTAAAGTGGAAAGAGGTCACGCGCGCGCGCGCACACACACACACACAAATAACAGCAAGCTTTATATGTGGAAGGAGAAGAAGACGATTTGCTTTGTGTTGTTGAAAGAGTGGGGACAGTTATTTCTTGTGCATGTTATATACAAGTGTCTCTTTGTAATAGTCCTGCATGTTTATCCCATGAACCTGTGTGTGCATGCAGATGTGTACACTCCCCATCTGGAATGGAAGGAGGAGGAAAAAAACCAGAAAAGGATAATGACAAAGGCAAGGGCAGGACAACCCCATTTGAATGCTTCAGCAGGACTCTGTTATCAAGAGGGCTGTTTCTCCTGACCAGACCTATCTCCTTAAAACCAAGTTAATTGAAGAGAGGCTAATTTAAATAATTTCTAGCTGTTAGGAACCAAGAAAAAGAAATTAGCCAGTGCAGGGCCTTGGGGAGGCCCAAGAGAAGCTACTTTGCCCTAATTCAGAAATTGTGCCTAGCTTGTTTCCTATACAAACTGGAAAGTTCTCAGCTTACAGCATGGATTTTTCACCTGGGGTAAGCAAAATGTTATATTCATGTGCATTTTTCTACAGAAAGGATTCCTAGCTTTTATCATATTCTCAAATAGTTTTATGGACTTCAAAGAAAAAAAAAGATTAAAAATAGCAACTGGTTTAAAGAGAAAAAAGGTCGGACGTAAATAAGAACAATACAAAAAGATATATGTAAATTTTCACTGGGCAGATCTAGGCCCAGAGACCATGCTTTGTATCTATAATTTGCCCACTCACATGTACTTTTATAGCTGCCAATTAATGATACTGTAATGAAACAATATCTTAAACCTTTTGCAATTTGGCCAAACATGTGTGACTCAGATAATTAGCTGTTAGAGGTCGGGAGAAACGTGAGTGCTAATCTGAGTCCTCTTTATACCAGTGGTATACCAGTAGGTCCTACCAAGAAGGAATTGTATTATGATGCTCCTCTGGTTTTAAAACATTGGCTTTCTCTTCAGCTATAATTCAACCCTAAGAAAGAATATTACCTGTCAAGTGACAGCCTCAAAGATTTCAGATCTAGCATTTACAGGAATCCCATATCAGCCAAAAAGTAATGTTTTTTTTTTAATTGTTCAAATTGTTCAGCCTTTGCTACTGTAATTTTTGGAGCCCATATATCAGGCAGGCAAGCCCTGGCTCTCTCGGTCACTACTGCTTTCTAATATGAAACCCATCCTCAAAGAGGAAGGAAGGCAGAAGCAAGCAGAAACACTGAGGTTATATATTGAAACTCCCATTAATCTGCTTCAAATGGTTTTTACCTTTAAAATTTTTGCTAGGGCACTCTAACAGGTTTTCAGATACTCTGTAAATGACAAGAAGTTCTAAGAAAGGTTGCAAGGAAGCTACTGCCTCTTGAGACCACTCATCTGTCAGACACTTGCTGGACCCGTAGTCCCTAATCTTGAAAACAATGGCTGACAGTACAGGGACCTGGGTGGCTGAGTCTGTTAAGCATCCTTGGCTCAGGTCATGATTTCAGTTTGTGAGTTCAAACCCTGCGTTGGGCTCTCTGCTGACAGCTCTGTGCTGACAGCAGGAGCCTGGAGCCTGCTTTGGATTTTGTGTCTCATTCTCTCTCTGCCCCTCCCCCATTTGTGCTCTGTCTCTCAAAAATAAATAAATGTAAAAAAATTTTTTAAAAAACAGTGGTTGATGGTACATGCAGATAGATTAAATGCTTAGATAGATTGGGAGTGCCTGTGTGGCTCAATCAGTTAAGCATCCAACTCTTAATATCTGCTCAAGTCATGATCTCATGGCTCATGAGTTTATGCCCCAAGTTGGGCTCTGCACTAACAGTGCAGATCCTGGTTGGAGTCGTTTCTCTCCCTTTCTCTCTGCCCCTACCCTTCTCTCTCTCTCTCTCTCTCTCTCTCTCTCTCTCTCCCTCTCTCTCTCTCAAAATAAATAAATAAACGTTTTTAAATAAAATGCTCAGATCAAATAACTTGTAAAAAGTTATATAGCTAGTAGGCTTTAGAGCCAGGATCAAACCTGTATAAGGCAAAAAGTTTTGTAATTTTTTAATGTAAGCAAATGTAATGTTTGCAATGGAGCAAATAAGTGAAAGAGGAAATTTATTGCAAGGATATCAGGTGGCTCACAAAATGGACAAGAAAGGACAGGGGGCTTCTGAGGGGTAAGGCAGTAGGAGCAAATTAACAGAACACCAGTGCTACTGTGAACAACCCCCTCAATTGTTAAGTAAAGATGAACCAGCACTTGTCCAGCTGGCCTAGCTTGGTCTTATAACCATGTCTTGCCTGGGAAAGGGGAGGCTCCCTTGAAGAACCAACCTAGCAGACTCTAAACAATGAGGAGAAAGTAATTCTTCATGGAAATGAAAGGGTTTTAATCAAATGAAGGCAGACATATACTGGCCATCTAAAAATAGCACATTTCCCCCCAATAAACCCAAGTCTGCCCATCTCTAAAGGCTTGGCTTTGTCCATTACACCATTCTACTTTTTTAAAAATTTTATTTATTTTGAGAGAGAGAGAGGGAGAGAGAGAGAAAGAGAAAGCTGCAAGAAAAGGCCGGGAGCCAGGACCGCGAGCGGCCTGTATGAATTGGAGAGCACAGAGAAAGCCATTGGGCCTGGCGGCCTCCAGAAGGGGCCCGGCCCTGCGGATACCTGGATTCCCGCCCCAGGAGGCCCGTTCTGGACACTGGTGCTGCGGAGCCGTTAAGGCAATAAATGCATACCCCTCAGCTGCTGAGGATTTGCTACACGTCAAAGCTGACAAGCCCGCAGGAATGAGAAAAAAGGCAATACCCGACGTGCTAGCCAAAGTCCACCATGCCCCCACGTTTGACGTGTTGAGTCAGGATGAACTGCGAAAAAAGCTATACCAGATGTTTAAGGATCGGGGTATACTGGACACGCTCAAGGCACAACTCTGAAAGCAGCTGATTCAGGAATTGATGCACCCTGTCTTGAAAGGAGAGCTACAGCCCCGAAAAGGTATTTACTATACAAGATCTATTACAACTCCTCAAAATCAACCCTGAATCCAGTCTCTACAAATCACTGATTTCAGGATTTGATAACGAAAACAAAAAAGAGTGTGCACAAGCAGGGGAGGGGCAAAGAGAGGAGGAGACCCAGAATCTGAAGCAGGCTCCAGTCTCTGAGCTGTCAGCACAGAGCCCAACATGGAGCTTGAACTCCCAAACTGTGAGATCATGACCTGAGCTGAAGTCTGGTGCTTAACAAACTGAGCCACCCAGGCGCTCCTTTCAGCTTTTAAATAAATAAACTGATGTGTCTATTTTGAGAAAAAAAAAAAAGCTCCATACTCAGCACAGAACCTAAGGTGGGGCTTGATCCCACAACCCTGGGAACATGACCTGAGCCGAAATCAAGAGTCGGATGCTTAACTGACTGAGCCTCCTAGGCACCCCTACACCATCCTCAACTTCTTAAATATGGTATCAAGCTAGAACCCTTGTTAATTAGAGATTAGAAGGAGGAGAGGAAGAAAGACACAACGGAGAAAGATGGAGTGCTTTATATTGCACTAAGATTTTATAAGTTAAAATACTTCTTTCTGGAAAATAGTCTATGTTTTTACCTGGGAGTGATTTAAACAGACCTGATCTGATTTCTATTCCACCAGCTCCTATTTCTGTAACTTTAGGTGGGGTGTGTAACTTCAGTGAGCCTCATTTTCTTCATTTATAAAATGAGCTAAAATCTACAACCTCACCAGCTTGTTATGAGCTTTAATTGAGCATGCATGTAAAATGTCTGATCTATAAAATGATCCCAGTAAATGTTCTTCCCCCCATTTCCCTCTCAACATACTAAAAGATGGTATGGTGTTAGTATTTTTAGTATTCTGAAGATTATAGGATTCATTTCTTCTGCTAGGTATGGTGTTTCTTATGGAAAGTATTCAGTTATTTCATGATGGCATTTGCACCTCCAAAAAGCATAGATGGTCCCAAAATGCAGACAAAGATGAGTACCTGGACACCCCTAAACCATCAGCTTTTGAATGACCAGGTAAGTGACCAGAGCTATTTTATCAATGTATCCATGCCTTAAAGGGGGAAAAAACATTTAAAATGTTCTCAAAATATGAACGGGAATTATTTAGTATTGTGTAATGGGTTAAAATAAAAGACAAATAAAGGATTTTTTTCCAAAAACTTTTATTGAGCTCTTGCTATATGGGCAAACCTGGCTGTAGACAGAATCTTTGTCATGATGACAATGTCTTAGATTTGCTCTTTCCTCTACTGTCACTGCTCCTCTCTCTCTCTCTCGTCTCAAATGCCTTTTTTCTCACCATACTGGTTCTCTGCTGGAATAGCCAGGAATGAGAGAGAAGAGGGTAGTCTGTGAGGAGTTCCCCCAAAAGATTTTCTTGCTATGATTGCAGTTACTGGATAATGCTGGACATTTAATCAAATAAATAAAATGAATACATCTCAACTGATGACTCACATTACTAGGCTTCTCCTAAGAAGCTTCTTTCTCACATGCATTCTGGGGAAGTACTAGTAGAATATGCCCAAAGGATTGCAGAGATGGGAAACTGAGTATCATGCTGGGGTGTGAGATTGGCTAGCCCCCTGGGGATTTCCATTCCTGCTTCAGTTGGGGGCAGAATTTACCAACAGGTCTGTGAGCTTCTATTATCAATACCTATTAGAAGGACCACACCTTGTTGGCAGTAAAATACAGTCAACATCAATAAAACTGACTTCATTATCTTGCTCCTACACACGAGTTCCTCCTCCTGGTAAAAGGCATCACTTTACACCAAGTCACTCGAGCCAGAAATCATCCTTCTCCCTGCCAGCTCTGGGCTGGTTTTCCCCAATTTACAAGCTCATAACTTAGCCTGGTAGTAATGGCATAGAAGACACTACTGTTTCATAGTGAAACACAAGATTCTTGGAGAGACAAAGAACTTCGTTACTCACAGTGCAGCAAGCAGGTGGAGAATCATGTTTGCATTGTTTCTTGCCAGGTTTGTAGCACAAACCCTCATTGAGGAACAGTAAGCCCAGGGAATCCAATGCTTTTCTTTCCTATTTTTTTTATCCAAGTTAGTTAACATAGTGTAATAATGATTTCAGGAATACAATTTAGTGATTCATCACTTACATATAACACCCAGTGCTCATCCCAACAAGTGCCTTCCTTAATACCAATCACCCATTTAGCCCATCACCCCACCCAACACCCCACCAGCAACCCTCAGTTTGTTTTCTGTATTTAAGAGTCTCTAATGGTTTGTCTCCCTCTCTGTTTTTGTCTTATTGTTGCTTCCTTCCCTTATGTTCTTCTGTTTTGTTTCTTAAATTCCTTATATGAGTGAAATAATATGATACTTGTCTTTCTGTGACTGACTTATTTCGCTAGCATAATATACTCTCATTCCATCTACAATATTGCAAATGGCAAGATTTCATTATTTTTTATTACCAAGTAATATTCCATTGTGTATATAGACCACATCTTCTTTATTCATTTTTCAGTCAATGGATATTTGGGCTCTTTCCATGCTTTGGCTATTGTCCATAGCACTGCTATAAACGTTGGGATCATTTGCCCCTTCGAATCAGCGTTTTTGTATCCTTTGGATAAATACCTTGTAGTGCAATTGCTGGGTCAGAGGGTAGTTTTGTTTTTAATTTTTGGAGGAACTTCTATACTGTTTTCCAGAGTGGCTGTACCAGTTTGCAAGGAATCCATTGCTTTCATAGTGAGCAGTAAGAAAGCCTGCTCTTGGTCTCAAAAGGAAACAGTATCTCATTACTCAAGGTTGCTTGCTCCAAACATGACTTGGAAAAATGGCCCAAGGAAAGAGCAATGACTCTCAGTATTCCAAGACATTTAGGAGTAGAGAGGAAGGCCCAGGGAGGTATGTCTACCAGCACCCCCTCACTTCCACATACAATTCATTTTCAAGTCTTCCTCTTTATCCGGGCCCCTCTCCATCATTCATCTATATGCCTCCAGCTTCACCTTGTCAGTTCACACCCTTATCACCCTTTGCCTGGTGCACTGCTGTAACCCCTAACTGGTTTCACTCCCTCTAGCCCTACCAATCCATCTTCTACTCTGGTCCCAGAATGATTTTGCTAAAATACCAAACTAAAAAAATAAAAATAAACAAATAAAATTTTAAAGTAAAATACCGAGCTAATCCTAGTATGTAAAACTGATAACATACTCTGCTTCAAAGAGTAAATTCCAAACCCCTACACATAGCATTGAAGACCTTTCTTAAGTTGACCTCAGCCAACCTTTCAGTTCCTACCCATTGTCTCTGCTTCCTCCCATCCTATGTCCAGGCTAACTAAGTGGCCTCCAGATGAACCACTGTTGCCCCCCTCTAAGAACTAACTCCAATGTAATTTTCTCTGGAAAGCCTCCTGCTTGCTTTTCTTTGCTTTCATCACTGTTTACCAACTTTCCCACTCAACTGCAGTGTGTTCAGAGTTGAGATTCTGTCTTTTCTCTCTGTATTTCCAGTACCTGATAACATTCCTGAAACACAAAAGATGGAATCAAAATTCAGCTATCCTCCCTGGGACCTCCTTCACTGACTCTCACCTTCTAGTCCCTAAATTCCTCTTTCCTAAGTCTGGATTTGACCCTAGCCCCCTAAACCTAATGGATGCGCTAATCACTCTGGCAAAGCAAGAGCATCAGTCCTGACCCCTCCTGTTCAGTACTTTCCTGTTTCTACTCTTCTGATGTGAAACATATGTGAAACGTGAGTTACTTTTGGAGAGAGATAAGCAGCCAGCACAATGATCAGAACAGTGAGAAATAAAAGGGAAAGAGACTGAAAACGAAAAAGATTTTTTTTTAAAGTGAGGAAAGAAGAATGAGACCTAGAATAAAAGGAGGGACTAGGAGAAACAAAAGGAAACATGGAATGAGAGAGAAACCCAACCTTCATCTGGCCATGAACACAAGTCTATTGAAAGTCTTTTTATTCAGCTCAACAACTGTTTATTGAGCACCTGATTGTAAGTGTTCTTAACTCTCCAACAGTTTATATAACAGCTTTTCTGCTTTCCCCAAAAAAAGTTCAGTGTTTAGATTTGAAATCTGTTTCCACATAGAATTGTGAAGATTTCACACATATGTGAAAAAGTGACTTGAATTGAAATACATATTTGTTGGATGCCTTGATTTTCAGAAATATTCTTTGAAAAATTGGAAGTCTTGATCGATTTAGCAGCTATGGAGAAAAAAAGTATTTTAGTTGCCCAATTGCCTGTTGCAGTTTGGTTTACTAGAGAAGCAGACTCTGGGATAGCATGTAGGGCATCCATTGTGGAAGGCTCTCTGGATTAGCACTAGGGAAGAGAAAGGAGTAGAGGTAGGGGAAGGGAGAAGGGGAGGGGAAGGGAGAGAAGGCCACAAGTTTGAGGCCTGGCCCTGTATCCACCAGCCTTTATACTTCCATACTGGGGCACCTGGTTGGCTCAGTGAGTGGAGCATCCAACCCTTGATCTTGGAGTTGTAAGTTTGAGTCCCACATTGGGTATAGAAATCACATACATACATATACATACATAGACTTTTACACCAACCATTCAGTAGATGCTAGCTGCCCCATAGAAGGGCCTGACCTTGGACAAAACACAGCTCTCAAGCTCATGGTTGACAGCCAACAGCACTCCCAAACAGGTGGAATAAATCCAGGGCAATCCATCACAGCAAGCATTACGTTGTCTTATCTTGGTTTTTGAAAAGGTTTTGTCTAGAAATGATTATTTCTAGAGATAATATTTCTTTTGTTCTTTAAACCTCTCATTTTTTACCACAAAATTACTTTTTGATTTAGCTAATTGTAGTTTGGAGTAATTTTTTTTTAATCTTTGCATGCATATATACATGTATGTATGTATATGTATAAATGTGCATAGACACACACACATAAACTTTGTTTATGGGTATACCAAACTATTAATAGTGGTTTTCCCCCAAAGAGTTGGATGACACTGGGGGAGGTAGTCCTGTAAGAAGAAAGCTTTCATTTTTTGCTTTACATAGTGCAATAAAATTGTAAATTTTAAAACAATTTTAAAATGATATAAATAAAAATAAAGAACAGTAACTTTGGGAATTGAAAATTCTGGTCTCAGATCACCAGTAATTTACTGCATGACTTGAGTAAGTCACCTACTTTCTCTGGGTTTTACCATCCTCTTTTATAAAATGAGTATGTTCGATCACATTACCTTGGAGGTTGCTTCCAGATCTAACATTCTGACTGTGCAAAAGGTGTTAAAAACAGATGCCAAGAATACAGCTAGCTAGAAGGTGTCCACACAATAATTTCAAGGAAAGAAATTCTTCTTTATTTTTTAACGTTTATTTATTTTGAGAGATGGAGAAAGTGCAAGCAAGGGAGAGGCAGAGAGAGAGAGAGGGAGGGAGAGAAACCCAAGAAGGCTCCATGCTGTCAGTGCAGAGCCCAGCACCAGGCTTGATCCCATAAACTGTGAGATCATGACCTGAGCCAAAACCAAAAGTCAGACGCTTAACTCACTGAGCCACTCAGGTGCCCTCTACACTTCTAAAACAGAGCATTTGTCACCAAATGACCAGTGTAATTTTGAGGTACTGTTTTCTGTTTTTGTTTTAATTTTGTCTTTCTTCAATTCTGTAGTAAAATGTAAAAGATGTAACTATTTCAGACTAAAACAGGATTATAGGATTGTTTTTAAGTTTTTATTTAAATTCTAGTTAGTTAACATACAGTGTAATATTAGTTTTAGGTATTCAATATAGTGATTCAACACTTCCATACAACTCATTGGGTCAAAGGATTTTAACTTCACAGCAGGCTTTAAACAGAGAAATTGAATTCAAATTCAGATGTCTGAAAAATTGCGTGATCAGCATAGGCAAATGTAACAGATTTCAAAATAATTTAGGCATTATGATTTTTGAGAGGAAGAATGTTTTAAATGTATGCATTTCTTTGCCATCTAGTGTTTTATTTTTTTTTGTTTTTAAGTTCATTTATTTATTTTTGAGAGAGAGTGAGCGAGCCAGGGGAGGGGCAGAAATAGAGAGGAGAGACAGACAGCCAAACAGGTTCTGCACTGTCACTGCAGAGCCCAATGCGGGGCAAACCCATGAACCACGAGATCATGACTTGAGCTGAAACCAAGAGTCAGATGCTTAACAGACTGAGCTACTCAGGTGCTCCGCCATCTAGTGTTTTAATTGAAAGTAACCAACATTTCTTTTCAAGTACAAGTCACAAATGTAGTACAGTACATGTTAAAAGGGTGTTCTGAACTCTAGATGCTGGCGAGGATGTGGAGACACGGGCACCCTCCTACACTGTTGGTGGGAATGTAAACTGGTACAGCCCCTCTGGAAAACAGTGTGGAGGTTCCTCAGGAAACTAACAATAGAACTCCCC